TTGACTGCTTTTATTGTCCTCATTTGTAAGTCGCTTTGGATAAAAGCGTCTGCTAAATGACTAAATGTAAATGTGTGTGTGTGTATATATATATATATATAGCTGTTATGGGAGACAAAACAGCTGTTTCTAGTCTATAATCACAGTAGTACACTTACAACAGATAAAAGTCTCGTGTTTATCCGGACACCGTAATCAGGTGACTGTATTCCTTCGCTTATGAATCAATTCAGACCTGCTGAACTGGGTGGAACTGCAACAACGCTGATGAACTTAGAAACTCACCAATAGCTTGACTCAGCTGAATTCATCTTTCCCGTACCAGCTCCCCACTGACAGACAATAACAACACACTCTCGGTAGACATGGTGACTTATGTATGCATCGGAGTACACGACACAATCTGTAGTGTACTTCTTCTTCTTCTTTGGTGTTTGGCGGACGGCACTGTAGTGCACAGTAGGCACAGACTAAATACTGGGTGTTTCAGGTCTGACGACATCACGCGGGCGTGGTTTAAAAGATCATCGCCGCTTCGCAGGCTTCACACGGAGCGTGTAAACTGCGCATGCTCCTTGACCTTTCGCTCAAACCACGCCCGCTTGATGTCGTCAGACCTGAAACACCCAGTATTTAGTCTATGCCTAGTGCAGTAGGCACTAATAATAACAAGACTTCAAATTAAAGGTCTCAAGGCAAGTTAAAAATATAATACAAGTTGAAAATATAACTCATAATGACTTTAATTGCAGGTAATGAAGAAATTGTTGTCAACAGAGATTTATAAAGACACGTTTAAGAATTAGTCTCAATAGCTGGATCATTGTAAGCAAAAGTAAATGCCAAGCCCATTTTTCATAAAAACTTTAACACGACAAACGTCCACTATTTTAAGTAAATTAATAAAATACTACGCTAGCAAGGTTTATTTCCCCGCCATTTTAAGCAAGGATGAGTCGCTGAAAAGGAGGATGGGTTACAGTCATAAATACAGCTAATAATATTACAGTATAAATACTGTTTATGTGCGGTTTTATTTATTAGTGTAATATTTACTAAGCGTATTAATGTGGAAAAAAACACAGAATAACACCCTGTAAATTAAAATGTTTGATATTTAGCACTCCGCACAAAAACGCAATACGAGCTTTTTCATGGCTTTTATTTTGAAACACCGGCGCATTTGAGTGTCGCTTATTTTTGTTCTGTGCTCAGTGGAGGCGCAGTGTGGTGTGTGATTACAGGTATGGGCTTTTTAAATAGCACAAACGTACTTTATGTGTAGCTTTGATTTTAATAAGTGTTTAATGAGCTGCCTTAGATGGCTTTTTAGTCAGTAACATTAAAGGTGCTGTTATAACACGCAGTCACCAACACACGAGGATGAAGCGGACATGTCTGTTTTATTCCTTTTACTTGTTTGATATGCTTTAAATGTTATATAATGTTACAGCGTTAACATAATCTGGGTTATGGTTGTAGTATCATTAGTTATGTCCCAATAGTCAAATATCAAGGAATTTAAAATCCCAGGCCTAGCTAGAGCCAAGTTAATAAAATCGTGGATAAGTCATGCATTTTCTTTAGTTTTCCAGCTATGCTCATTTCTGAAGAATTTAAACGGCTTGAAGCTGATGAATGCATGCTCTATCAACTTAATAATAAAAAATAAAAAAAACACTTTCTCAGGTAATTAATTGGTCATAGTTTGTTGGAACACTAATATAATTTTTAATATATCATTATGTTTTCAGTCTGTTCATACAATGGCTGATGATGGTCCGATGGAGGATTATCCCACTGAAATTGAGGAAAACCTGAATGATTTTGAGACCTCTTTGAGCTCTGTCCAGAACATGGTCCAAACGCTCGTGTCTGTATCCAGAAGTGACAATCTGCTTCAAGTATGTGAAAGCAAATGCACAAATCAAAATATGAACTTTATCACATAAAGTTACGTTTTGATCTTTTTGTACCTCATTCAAGCTGGATCCTCTTGATCGTGCTAAATTGGATCTGATGTCTGCATATGCCCTCAACTCAATGTTCTGGAGTAAGATTTTACACCTTCATCTTTTACTTGACGTAATGTTTAATGAAATGCTGACATGACAAGATTGAATATTTCTTCTTAGTGTATCTGGTGACACAAGGAGTCAATCCGAAAGACCATGCGATTAAACAAGAATTGGTAAGAGAAGTTTGTCATTTTACTTGCGTTTTAGGTTTAATGCATTAAATCTGTGAACAGAAATACAGTATGTGTAGGTAAAATGCATTGTTTATGAAGGATAGCTTACTGTTTGTATTGATTAATTGAGAAGGGAACTAACATCCTCCTTTACTTCACAGGATAGGATCAGGACATACATGAACAAAGTCAAAGAGATCACGGACAAAAGAAAAGCTGCACGTCTGGACAAAGGTGCAGCATCGCGGTTTGTTAGGAATGCATTGTGGGATCCAGAGGACAAGAAAAGAGAAGACACAGCTGAGCATCCCCAGAGAGGAAAGCACATTAGGTTTTCTTGATTGAATTGACTGGTGAAACACTGACGTTTTTCGGCAAATATTTAGCAGACTTTGGGATTAAGCATAACACATATTTCAGAGCATTGAGAAACTGCATAAGAAGTCTGCCGGTTACCTGGTGATTTGTTATGATGCTGTGTTGAGTAGCATCATTCTTTTCAAGATCGTGACTAGTTTCAAACTAAAGAAGAAACCCAATATAAGTTACAGGTATTTAAGTAGCCTACAGTTTTTATTATTATTGTTTTATTCAGTTGCATTTGAAGAGAATGTTTTTTTGTTTTTTTTTAGTTTCGAGTAAATTTTAGATCTGGGGTTACATAATCTGAAATGTGGACCATTCATAATACCTGTCCCATTAAAACTACTAAATCCTCTCTGTCTTGTCAATTCATTTGCAATTGAAGAGTTCATTTGCAAAAACCGATAAACGCTACTTTAAATTTTTTTTTAGCTAATTGCCGTGCATTATTCTCCACATATAGCGCGATCTGAACCCTAAACACGTTTTGTCAAAAAAGCCGGTTTTGTCCACTTTCAAGGCATCGCGAGTTCACGTTTTACTGCAGAAGCCGACAAGCGCCATTGTTGTTTTTGAACAGAAGCCGACAAGTCCATTTTAGCGAATCAGCGTGCTGTATTCAGGTCAGGTGACAAGGCTACTTTCACTTT